GTGCCCACCCTGTCCCCCAGCCCAGAGCACTGAGTGCCACGGCCAGTTGTAAATATTTCACTCCTCCAAATCATGGAGCTGTATTTTTGTTCATCTTAAGCCGTATTTTGTCCAGTCTTGGCTGTGGTGGAGAATAGGAAGCAATGGCCAGGGGTCACCTTGGAAGGGGAAGCAGCAGAAGGTGCTGGGACAGGACCCCACACCCAAACTGGCCTGTCTCTGCCTGACATTGGGCACTTCCCCCTCAGACCAGCCCAGATTAGTGTCTTTCTTTTCTGCTCCATCCAAACAGTAACTGGAATGGAGAGAAAAAATAATGCAGAAACATCTCCATTAAAAAAAACCCAGAGAGAGAGCAGGGAAGATTCCTGAGGGGAGGGTTCCCAGGCCACTGCTTGCTCTGTGTTGTGCTCATTATCTCACTGAGTGTCCCAGGGTGTTCAGTGACAGCCCCCTGAGCTCTGCCTGGCACAGCAGGTCCTCGGGGGCAGGTCCTGCTGGCACTGGGACAGCACCAAAGGGGACAACTCTGCTCCAGCATGTGCAGTGTAACCTGGAGCCTGCAGGAGTCACATAAGGGAGCAACTTCAGCAGGAAAGGGCTTTGCTGGAGGGTTGCCTGGCTTGGGCCATCCTCACACAGGGTTCTGAGAACAATGATTCAGAATTCTGAGGAGATTCTGAGATTGCTCCCAGCCTGAGCAGAGTTGCAGAGTTCCTCCCTGGGTGTCTGTGCTTCCTCACTGCAGCCGTTCTCCAACACAGCCCCAGCCCCAGGAGCCTCTGCCACAGTAAGAAAACGTTTGTGGGGGACAGGGAGGGTGTGGGGGGTGTGTCAGCACATCTGTCAGCACAGCTGGAGAGCACCATGAAGCAGGAATGAGAGAGATAAAGATGGGGAAGAGGAAGGGAGAATGGGAGAACGAGGAGGAGGAGAAGAAAGGAGGAGAAAATAGGCTGAGAGAGCTGGGGGGGTTCACCTGGAGAAGAGAAGGCTCCAGGGAGACCTGAGAGCCCCTTCCAGGGCCTAAAGGGGCTCCAGGAGAGCTGGAGAGGGACTTTTGATAAGGGCCTGGAAGGACAGGACAAGGGGAAATGACTTCAAACTGTCAGAGGGCAGGGATAGATGGGATATTGGGAAGGAATTCCTGGCTGGGAGGATGGGGAGGCCCTGGCCCAGGTTG